AGTGATTCACTTAACAACTGTGGCAAGAATCACCAACGGGGGCAAAAGCCGTTTAACAAGTGTCTTGCTTAGCAACAGAAACCGTGGGCTCAGTTGCGCCCATTCTCCCCGTTGCCAAAGGATTGCAACCCGACCCACAACTTTAATCAGACAGCGATGGAAGAAGCATGTTGAAAAACCGGTTGAGGTCTTTCCACATAATCCTTAAGTCGGAACAGACACTTATCCCAATGCAATAAGCCATTCTATTTTTTTTAAAAAAAGAAATGCCATAAGTCCTACATGGAAGGAAGATGGAGAAATAGACCCCTGGAGAGAGGATAAAAAAAAAAAAACCACACCGCCTCCTCTGGGATCAATTTCGATTTCTTTGCAATGAAATGATAGGGAACGATTTGCAATCAGAATCTCATCCAGGACATAGATAATGTTGTTTGTGGTTCACAACCTCTGCTGGCACTTCTTCAAGTACAACAAGATGGCTGAGTTTGCACAACCTGCCTCTTCTCCCCCCCCCCACCCCTCCCCATACACACACAGTGAGGATGAGGTGATTTGTGGGTCCGCGCAGTGTGTGCAAGATCTTGTAAGCGTCAACCTTAACGAAGCATAAAGTTGGCCACATCCCTATAAAGCGCTCAGATTGCAATTAGATAAAAGGAGGGGGGCAGGATTGCAATTAGATAAAAGGGGGGGCAGGAATAATAATCTACATAGCCCCCCCCTCTCCTCCACCCCTCCCAAAGCTGCTTCTAAGTTGATGAGTTGCAACCAACTCAGCCCCTAAGAGTGCTTTCCAGATGTTTGGGGCCCCAAGCCCATCATCCCCAACCAACTTGGCTAAGAGCCAGCTATTGCACGATCTGCATTGGAAAGTGGGGAGGGGTCCCCAGTGCTGTCCCTGGCTGGGGATTAGGGGAAGTGGGGTTGGACACCTTGCACACTGGGGGGGGGGAGATCTCCCTGCCCCCCACCCCATGGGAAGAAGGGTGCCCCGTGCATTTCCCCCCCCCCAAAAAAGAGGAAGGTGCAATGAAGAGGCTGCCTATTGCAACCAGGGGAGGGGTCCCTACCGGCCGCCTCCAGTCTGATGAGCCCCCCGATGCTAACGCCGCTGCCGCCGCTGCCGAAGGAATGACACGGAGCCGCCTCCCGCCCGCCCCTCTTCCCGCCCCATGGCCGGGCAAGCCAAAGGCGGAGCCGGCACCACGCGGGGAGAAGAAGGCGCGGGCAGCCGGGCGAGGGAGGGAGGAAAAAAAAGAAAAAGAAAAGAGAGGCACGCCGGGAAATGTAGTCCGCCTCCAGGGCGTTCCTGCCGGAAGGAAGAGCCGCGCGAACTACAACTGCCGCGAGAAGGCGGGCAGGCTCTGGCGCAAGGCCTTTCGGGAGATGGAGTCCAACTTCCGCAAATGGGCATTAGCCGGGAGGAGAAGCGTGCCAGGAAGTCAGAGTCGGTGCGTGCCTTTCCCAATGGGAAAGGGGGAGGGGGGAGGGGGGGAGGGAGGGGGGAAGTGCATCCCCTCCCCATCATTCCCAGCCCTGTGGCCTGGGATGATAGGTTTTGTAGTGGGACCCTTCTGCTGGATGCAAAGAGAACTAACTGCAAGCCGGGGAAATTAACACTGTGCAGCTGTCTAGGCAGAGTTCTTTTTTTAAAAAAAATATATTTTATTAATTTTTTTACAATAATCTTTAGTGCTTCGTGAACAGTGTGTTGTCTGGGTTCCTATATTTAAAACAATCAGTGATAATTAATTTCTACAGTTAACCAATGTTAGATAACCTTCACTGTCATTTTTTTTTTCCTGTTGGCACACATTAAAAATGAAATTTAGTTGCTTGCTCTCAAGGGTTACTTACTTACATAACACACATTTAAAACATACTATATACAACATATGTGTAGACCTTACATATATAAGTAACATATAAATATTAAATCACTGTCCATCTTGAATACATAATGGAAGGAGGAAGCTTTAGAGTTCACAAGGTTAATACAGTATGGAACAAAGCTGTGACTGAATCTGGATGTTGGTTAGGGTTAGGATTAGGGTTGGTTGGTAATATATTTCTTATATCAAGGGGGTCTTCAAACTTGGCCCTTTTATGACTTGTGCACTTCAACTCCCAGAATTCCTCAGCCAGTATGCTGAGTAATTATACTGAGTATAATTAAATCCCTTATATTTGCACATTATTATTATTATTTGCAAATGTGGCTTTGATAAGATGCAAGGCTGAAATCCAGGAAAGGAAACATATGCAAATAGGATTTTTTTTTTGACCCATAGCAAAGATTTTTGTTTCTGAAACTGTATGATATCCCAGCGGTAAATTTTTGAAGCTGACTATCCTTTTTTCTGTTTCTTGCCTTTCAGATTACGTTATCATAAGGAACAGGTTTGGTGTGTTTCAAAGGCGCCAAGTCTCTTAAAAATGTTTTTATAGACTTTGCTATATATTCCTGAGTGAAAACAACCCAGTTTCCTTCAAACGTTTCCAAAGCTATTCAGAAATTCAATGCCTGGCCCCTTTGCTTAGTTTTCCATTTATTCAGGAGTGAAATAGAAGTAGAATAAGGTACAGAAAGTGGATTTATTCTAGTATGATTTTTTTTAAATCTTCCATTCAGTTATGTTCCCTGGAAAGTCCCCACAGTTTTCTTGCCAGTTTTTCAGAAATAATTTGCCATTGCTTCCTTCCTAGGGCTGAAGCAGTATGGCTGGCCCAAGGTCCCCCAGCTGGCTTTGTGCCTAAGACTAGAATTCATAGTCTCCTAGTTCCTAGACTGGAGCCTTCACCATTACACCAAATTGGCAGGAAGGTTATAAGTAGTCCTCAACTTATGACCATAATTGATTGGCCGTTAAGCAAGGACTACCTGTACAGGTCTGAAAAAAAATATCTATCATATTTATGTGACAGCAAAAATTGGGATTTTGTGCCTCTTTGCTGCCATCTAGTGGGTATGTGGTTTGGGGCGTCGTTTTGGGGCTGTCTTCCCAGTTGTGTCATTCATTTTAAAGGAGGGGACAAAATGCAGGAACTGATTGGGAACCCCAAAACACCAGTATTGACTTAATTATTGCAGGGAGTGGGGGAACCAACACTTTGCCAGGCCATAGACTGCGTGCAGTATGGTCCAGTTTGCAGAAAATATCCAATAATTATGTTGGCGATTCATTTAAAGACCTTCAATCTCTTTGAGGTTTTATTGTTTCCTGCTGTAAAATAAGGGGTGGGAAACTGTGCCTCCCCCAGTTTCAGAGGGCATGAGGGGGGGACCATAAAATGGCAGTGGCTCATGGGCTTCCCAGTTTTGCAACCACAGGACCAGCATTGTGGGGTGCGGAGAAATTCCCAGAAAAGCAATCTGAGACTGCAAAAGAGTCCCTCCAAGGCCAACAGCGGGGGAAGATGGGAGTTGTGATCCCAGATCCCAAGGATCCCATGTTGCTTACACATCGGTGGCCTGCCAGATGTGGCAGCACAACAGAGAATCCAAATGATGCACTTCCCTCTCTCTGCCTGGTTGGAATATAGATCTCATCCATCACAGCCATCACGGGCAAGAGTAATGGGAGTTGTAGTCCCAACCGTTTGGAAGGAAAGCAAAGCTTCATCACCTTCTGTGTAGAGGTAGGACTCAATTTATGATCATAGATGGGACCGGAACGTCCATCGCTAAGCGAGGCGCGTGTCGAGTTGCGCTCAATTTTACAACCTATAGACATTAAGTGAATCAGAAAGTTGTTAAGTGAATTGCGGCTTCCTCCATTGACGTTGCTTGTTGGAAGCTGGTAGGAAAGTCACAAATGGCGATCATAGGATCCCAAGATCCTGCAACCATCTTAAATACATGCCAGGGGGCCAAGCATCTGAATTTTGATCACTTGAGCATGGGGATCCTGCAATGTTTATAATGCAAAGTCACGACCCAAGTCCCTTTTTTCAGTGCTGTAGACAAAAGATTGTAAGTGAAGGGCTACTTGTATGGATTATGTGTGAAAAACATACAGCTGTTTGGCTGGCTTAGAGCTAAATTTACATTTTCTGATAGTCTGCTGATGAGTTCCTGGACACATGACAAAGAAAACAACACACATCTTATAAAAATGGTCTTTCAAAAAAAAACCCTTTCTAGGTGCAGCCTACAGTCTTCAGAAACCCCCCCCCCCATGACTTTCCCAAGGTCAACCTGAGTTGATTAGGTATGGAGATTTTACCGTATTCTCATTATTTATTTACCGCATGGACTATATTTATAGATCCACCCATCTGACCTCAGCAAAGTCTGGGATGGTTAACCCAATAAAAACATCAGTGCAATAACAGGATGTAATAAAAAAAATCACATTTAAAATTCAAAAGAAAAAATTTGACTGCTGAGAATAGACTAGTCAGGAACAAACTCTCAAACCGATGACATTATAATAATACTATTACATTTAAGAGGCATGTCTCCTTTTTCCTATTGAAATAATGATGTTTCAGAGGACATGCCATCCAATAAAAGGGCATACCTTACAATTAAAACAGACTCACCCCGAAAAGTCATCTCTAAAAGGGCATTAAAAAAAAGAGCATAAATCTTTTTTAAAAAAAACACTGACATCATCTTTCCTAAACTCTTGGGCAGCTAAAAAAACTACGTTCCATTCTCTCTTAACAACAAAGCCACATCGGTAGGCTTAGCAACTTCCCTATTTATTTAAGTTAAAATCAGCTCGTGTATATATACGAATTTCTTATCCAAAAAAAAAAATAAAAAAAATTTGACAGCCCAAAGACACGCCTCCTCCCGTCCTCTTCCCTCACTGCGCCTGCGCCGGAAAGGAACACCAGCCCGACACGCCCCTTCGCGGCACGTTTGCTCACCGCCCTCTTCTTTGCGCCTGCGCGCTGCGACCTCGTCGCCTCAGGTTGGTCAGTCGGTGCTCGTCCGTTGAGCGGGGCGGTCGCGTGGAGGAGATCCTTCGTCGGCGCTGCGTGCGTTATTATTTTTATTCCCGTCGTAGGCGAAGATGGCTGATCCGGCCGCCCAGTCCCCGTTTATTTCTTCTTCTGCCGGAGGTGGCTCTTCCGAGTCGGGAGAACGAGACCTGAAGGGGGCAGGTTCCCCCCAATCTTGCGCTGGTAAGGACGCCGGGGGGGGGGGGGGGGGGCGGGGGAGGGAACGGCGGGGGGGGGGGGGGGGGGGGGGGGGGGGCGTGGGCAGTGGAAGGAACGGCCGGCGGCGGCGCGGGAGGGGGGAGTGCGCGTTGACGGGAAGAGCCATAAAGGTTGTCCAGCACGAGATAGGAAACGGGAGAAAGACGCATTTCCTGGAATTCTTGCATTTAATGCAAGCCATTACTACAGCCTCTGCTAATTCGCCAATAAATGCGCCCGTTGCCTTATTAATTTCATCGAGACTCGATATTTTATTTGCTTTCCACCCCCACCCCCAATTAAGGTGAACTGGGGTGTAGGTCATAATGCATTTGCCTTTAGTGCAGAAAAAATGGCAGTCTCTGTGAATTTGCCAGGGAGTTGTACCGTTTGCATTATTTTACCGAGATCAGATATTTTATTTGCTGCTCCTCCTCCTCCTCCCCTTTAAAGAGTGTAGATAAGGAGGGGAAGGGCTTCAGCGCCCCCTTTTCCCCTAGCTGATGCAGGATAAATTAAAATACGTTTTTACAATTATTTATCTAGGAAGTAGCTCTCTGTCTCTCTCTCTCTCTGCCTTGCAGTTCCTTAACGGCTGCAGATGGCTTGCAAGGTTCAGCAAAAGCGGCCTGGAAAGCAATGTTGAAATGCAGGATTCTATATCTATCTATCTATCTATCTATCTATCTATCTATCTATCTATCTATCTATCTATCATCTATCTAGATATCTATCTATCATCTATCTATCTGTCTATCTATCTAGATATCTATATATCTATCTATCTATCTATCTAGATATCTAGATATATACAGCCAATTAAAGTGGTGACACTAAAAAGCTTTGGGAAAATGAACCCTGTTCCAGTCTTTTCTCAAGGCTGGCTTCAATTCCCCCCCCCCCCCCGCCGCCCTCGGCTCCATTATGTGCACCCTGCCCTGGAGGATAAAGTCAAAACTGGCTGTTGATGTGATGGCTGATTACAGATTTTCTTTCTCCAGCCTGGTGCCCTCCCGGCCACTGGGGTCTGCCACTCCCCTCAGCGTGAAGCAGGGGGAAAAAAATCTTTCAGGGTACCCAAATGAGATTCAAGTGACAGTTGGGTGCGAAGCCATCTCTTCTTCTTTATCTTTCGTTTTTGCAGTGCAGTCTGCAGGCTTGGCAACCGTCTAAACGAGGTGGAAGACATACTTTTCCTAAAGGGAATTTAAAAATTAGCCTCTTTCTTGATAGCTTGGGGAGAGCTCTTTTATGGAGGGGAAAAGTCACTGTGGTTTTTTTAACAGGGCTGAATCTGAAATCGAAATAACAAATTCTGGGCTTTGAAACCTTTCCTCTGAATTGTTGTCCTTCCCTCCCCCAAAAATGGAAGATCGTGGGGAAAGGGCAAGAAGAATCGTATGGCAAGAAGAAAAAGGTAGCAGTTGGTGGGATTTGAGGGGGAGATTGCTCAAAATAAGCACCTTTTGACCGCAGCCATTATAACAGGGACATTCATTGGAAACCAAGTCGATGCATTTAAGATGACCAGAGTTTTCAGTGCAACAGCCCCCTTGCAAATTGACATATAAAATATTCTTTTTTTAAAAAAAATTCTGAGATATTCTTTCATAGGCAGGGATTGTGTCCTCTTTGTGAGAAATAGTTCTGCCTCCTTTATCCTTTTGAGAACAGCCATGATAGTCCAAACCTGCCAAGGGTGCACGGGGTGCATTTGGAGACCCCCCTCCCTCCTCAAGGATTTTTTTTCCCCCTGGAAAGGGCTGGGCTGGAGACCATGGAGGGTTTGAGACCTAGGAAGAGGTCTCTGAAGGACCTCCGGGAGGAGAAGGGTGTGGCAGTTCCCAGGGCTTTTTGGGGGGGGATGGGGAATTTAGCATTCAGATCAGCTGCCCTGTGGAACGTAGCAAGGCGGACCAAAACAACTGAAGGGCTGGAGGAACTGGGAAATGGGGTGCTGGGGGGTGCCAGGTTGCCAACAGTCCCAGGGGCAGGCAAGCAGTCTGGGCAGATGCCACGGGTGTGGTACCGACAGCACCGTGGAAAATTCTTCGGTAATGAGCAGGGAAATGAAGCAATCTTGGGGGTGGCTTAGCAGAACATTGCAGCTATCAGCAAAATGTCTGGCGATGTGTGCCGATCAGGATGGCAAACTCTCGCTGCTTGGGCGCTGCAGCACCGTGGGGTTTTTCCCCGCTGCAAGCCCCTTCCCCTCTCCTCCATTTCTGGGGTCTTCCAGTCTGTCTGATCTAACACTGCAGGGAGTGGCCTACTGCTACCAAAGCGAAGGGATTCTTACCGAGATGAGAGAACGTGGGTGGATGGGAAGTAAATCCTAGATTTTTATTATTATTATTATCATTATTGTAGGCATAGGAGACAAGGGTGGAGCCTGAAGGTGCGTTTTGCACCTTCTTGGCATGGTCTCTCTCGCTGGGGTGGGGGTGGGGGAGGGAAAATACCAGATGGATAGGGGGTGGGGAACAAAATCCTCCCTTTGCAATCGCAGAAAGATTTTATTTACTTATTTATTTATTTGGTGGCGTCCTAAATAATACTCATCCAGTTGGTGGGGTGGGGGGAGGGAGAGAGAAAAGGGCATTGATTTTTCCAAATACTTTGTCTGAGTCTGGGTGGCATGAAAGAAGGCAATCTATTGTCATTTAAATCTTTCTTTCTCCCCCCCCCTCCAAAAAAAATTCTCTTTGCTGCTGCTTTTTTTTGGGTGGGGGCAGGAATACATTAAAACCTGCTTCTGGGAAAGCCTCTCCCCCCCCTCCTTTGGCTCTGATCTTTTCCCTTTTTTCTATTCTTTTTGGAGACTGCTGAAGGGATGAAGGCAAGACAAAGAGCCGATTATCTAAAAGTAGGGGGCCCTGGAAGGCCCCCTTCCTCTCCATCGTCTGGGTGGGTGGGTGGGTTGGGAAACGGGCGGCTTTTCTCCTCCAGGGTCTGGGTAGAAAAAGCCGCCTCTTCATCAAAAACCTGCACTGCAGATGTCTGTCAGGGCGAGAGGGCAGGTGACGCTGCTTTAAAGGGGACGGGACCGCCAAAGCCATTTTGGGGGGAGCTGACCCTGGCTTATCGATGTTGCATTCCTGAGCAGGATCCTGAGCCCTTGCAGAAAATCATATTAGTGTAATCTGGCACGCGGCTGGATTGTTCCATGGAGGGTGGGGAGAGGGGGGGTTTAAGGGCTTGTAATGTCTCTCCCACCTGTCCCTGCTTCTGGTATTTCCAGCTATGGATGCTGGTTTGGGAGCAAGCTGGCTTCCTCAGTGTGGTTTGTCTACAGGGCACGTAGAGTTAAGATCAAAGCGGTTAATATGGCCCATTGTCTGATGGAATAACAGGGTGGGAAGGGACCTTGGAGATCTTCTAGTCCAGCCTTCTGCTCCAGCAGGAAGCCTATAATATTTCAGATGGATGTTTGTCCAATCTCTTCTTAAAAACCTCCGGTGTTTTACAGGGATCTGACCAGAAATGGTTTGTCTGACAGACAGAGCACTTCTGCGCCACCAGATAAGCCGTATCTCGGTCTGTAGCTTCGTCCTCTTTCCCTGATGAGTGAACCAGGTTACTTTCTCTGGCACATCCAAGCCAGTACTCTTGAATTGAACTCCCTTCTCTGGCCACCTCTCCACTGCAGGAGCCCCACCTTCAAGTGCCCACTGCAAAAATCAAGCCTTTTGGGTGATGCTTAAGCTTCCCAGTCGTTTTTAATTTAGTGGCGTTTTGCCCGCTTGCATTCTCAAAGAACCCCCCATAGCACTGCTGGTTTCATCCTTTTGAGTCGATCTATTTATTGTGCTTTTCTGCTGTGGCAGTTTAGAGAGGTGTGGGCTGCAGTGTTAAGTGCAGTAATACAACATCATATCTCAGTAAAGTAACAGCAGGCTCTTGAAGGTCTGAAACGCTAACATGGTTTTCAGAAGGCCCCGGGGTAGTTAAAAGGAAATTTTTGTCTGGCTCCAAAAGAGTACCAGGCAGGGGTTTTTTGGTTTTTTTTTTGGTTTTTTTTTTTTGAGAGGTTTGTGTTTGATTGTGTGTGTCTCCACAAATGAAATGCCACTCCAAAAGAGATTTTTTTTTCCCGATTCAAGATCATCTCGCTTACTTTAGGCACCCCAAGAGCTGAAGCCCTGCTTAGAAACCACGAAAAGAAACGCCCTTGCAGGATGATTTAAATATAAAATAGGATATTCGTGGAATTTTGCATTTATACATTGCATCGCCATCGTTTTTGGCTCACTGTCGTTTCTTGAACAAGCCACCGCCATTTGCTTGTGACACCCCCCCCCCTACATTTTGGTATCCAAAAATGCAATGGGCTGGGTTTGCCCACGGATCACGTTTTAATGCTTAGTGTGATGCACAGAACCAGGTGTGTGCCCTCATCCCTCGTTGCTAAGACAAACAGGAGGTTTTTTATGTCTCACATTTGCTCCGAAGAAGGGCTGCATACGTTGGGCAGGGGGGTGATCAGCTCTGGAATCCCCCCCCCTCCATTCCTGCTTTGTCGAACAGCTGGCCATATGTCTCAACTTCAAACGGTGACATAATTTGGAGGTCTTGGAGACTGTCACAGCATCTGCTGTGCAAAAATACCAGACAAAGCCCAGAAATTGGCACGGAGCAAGGAATGGCTCCTCCGTTAGGCTCGTGTGAAGAGATCAGGTTTCCAGCCCTTTGGGCTGCTGAGTTGAGCGTGAAAGCTGTGTCAGCACTGATGTGTAAAATTATAGAAGCAACAAGATATGTGGAGGGCTGGCTGGATGCTCTCTTTTTTGGCTCCTTTCCACGACAGGTGGCTTGTTTTGATTTAAACCAGGGTATAAATCCACCACTAACTTAAGTTTGTCCTTTTGAATCCCACATGTTTTGTTTTTTTTAATCGGCGGTCTAAATGACGTAGACTTCATTGTTTTGCAAAAATTGTCTGCAACCCTGATCCACACAGTTGTTTCCTTAAGCAAGCCCCTCTT